TGAAAAATGAACTCAAAAGATGAGCTCAACTAGAGTATTTAAAGGGAAACTTGAATAAACTGTAGAATAGTATACAATGAGACCATTTACTTTTGGTACAAAGTTATCACAATTAATTTTTTACTATTGGATGTGAAATTGGATGGTTGTATTTATTCGATTGACTAAACTCAATCTTCAAAAGAAATTTTCTCGAACTTATAATACATCCAAATTATCATACTTTACATCGGATGGTTATAAGTAATTGTGACATCATTATAACAAAGGTAGATAGTATCATTATATGCGATCCATGAACTATTGCCGGTTGAAATGTTGGATGTATGACCCATAATTGTTATGAATATCCGCAAGCACAGGCAGTGAATAGTCATAACCATGGCAAAAGGTCAGTTAACTATCACAATCATGTTCAAAGGTTAGTGAATTGTCCTGACCACATACAAAGGCGGCAAAGCAAAACGTTGTTAATTCCATTGTATATTCATAAGGGCAGTTGAAGGCCATGTCTTTTTAAGAAAGGCCTTGAGGCTTGACAGATCATAGTTATCACAACTGGACCGATTTGGTGGTTAGACTGTCGATGGATGCTTTAGTTGGACCAGTCCAGATTAATAATTGAATTTGGTAAAAAAACAAGTCAGTATTAATATTTGATGGGTTTTGGTCAGTTCAACAAGCTGAACTAGATTTGATAAGAAACAAGTTAAAATAAATATTTAATCGATTTTGGTTGGTCTCGACAGGCTGTTTCCTACAAATTCATAGGTCCAAATAAACTGGACAAATTTTTTTCAAATATATTATATATTTTTAAACTATCATTCATATTTTTCTTTACTTTTTTAAAATTCGGTCAAATCAATTTGACTGACAGTCAGATTGGTTTTAATTAGACTAGACCCTCTCATTAGTTTAATGACCAATCTGATCTTAATGTTGCTGGACATAGGAGGGTGAAATGGTCAAAAATAAACGACGAAAAACAAATGTTGTTCCAATCTCTATTATCCTATCCTAGGTGCGATATATCACTTTTTCAAGACGATGTTTGCTTTTTACTATTAAAAATCAGTGTGCATATCATTTGCAACTAGGCAAATTTGTTCTTTGGATAGATAGAAGCAAAGGATTGAGAGACTATCTTGCCAATACGAATATACTAAGTATTGCAAATTTTAAATCACTAAACTTACTTTCTTTCTAGAGAGAAAAAGTTTTAATAGAAAACACTTAGGGAAATTCGTATGGCTTTTGTACTTCAAAACAACAGGAAACAAGTCCCTATTTATAGGCAAAGAAAGTTTCTCTTCACTTTCACATATGATCCCAAAAGTTAAGAGTTGCCGCTCTTGAAATCTCAACCATCAATGTGGCATGGTAACTCTTCAAGTTCAAAAAACCAACTGCCGCATTGTTCTTCTTCGAATTTAAGAACAATCGTTACACGTTCTATACACTTCTTCTGGTAGACTACATGTATCGGCACAAATCACCAAACGATCATTATGATAATCCACAGAAGGCTAGGCAAGGTATAAACCAACAGCAGTCTTTTACCAAAAGCATTGTGCGTAGCAGTAAAAGGATAGACATGCTACAACTCGACCTATACACGTGCTTAAGCAAGAGGCGCCTCATGCAAAGTGCAACATGCACGTGTACATTCTACATGTACTCTCCAAAGATTTTTTCTGTTTTTTATTCTTGGAAGACAAGTGAAAAAGTTATTTAATTTTTTAAACAAAATTTTCCTCTTCCGCATTTTTAAAGCACATAAGACAAAAATACAATTTTCAAGCCTGACACTTTCCAAAACACTATTGAACAAAAGAGTAAGTATTTTAAAACAACGCAAGGTATTTTTCCCAAACAAAAAATACAACACATAAAACTGCAGCACGCAAAGACTTATCCGCACATAAAACATAGAAATAGTCCAGCTCCTAGCTAGTTACGTGCTCATGTGCAAATAAATCAGAAAACCCATAAAACCATGAATCCCTCTCTTGGAAGCCTGTAACCCTTTTTCTAGGTAAGAGTTAGCTTCAGTGTTAATAAAACCTAGGGGTGGCATTGGGGTCGACTAGATCTGGAACCCATCGGGTATAGCCGACCTCGGTCCAGGTATGAGTCTAAATAGTGGATCCGAATTTTATTTGGGATGGGTCTGGTTTCTGTTGGACTCGACCCGTGCTCATAGCCATAAAGTATATGATGACAATCATGTGTCTTTGAGCGTACACTAGGTGTTCATATTGTCACAATATTGGTAACATTTATCGTATTATTGGCAAAAAAGAAGAAGCTCGTAGTCATAGGGTATATAATGGTAAAAAAAAGAAAAAAAAATAAATGCTCATAGTCATAGCGTGGCAATGGATCAGATTAGACCCAAGACCCGATGGGTAGACTCGGGACCCAACGGGTCCAGTTACGAGTCCAAATTTTAAACCAGAATATTGTTAAAGATCAGGTCCGAGTCCAATTGGACCCGACGCATTGCCACCTCAAATGAAACCCATATCGAGTTGCCAGATTGGTCATCAGTGAGACAGATCTGGATTGCCAATTCAAGCCCATAAAAAAACCAATTATTTTAAATTTCAAAAATTAATAAGAAGTAAGAGTTTGTAATTCTCCCAATTCGGATTATCCAATTCCTTGACAAACTCGCCATATACTCTAACATAATTTTACGCTTGCTCCATCTTTTCCAGATTCAGAGCAGCGGTTCCCGCTCGGGATGGCCATTTTCTTTACACAGCACTAGCACTGATGTGCACAACTTGAGAGAGAGTGGAAACTTATACCATGCTCCGTGTTCTTAGGGGAATTTCGGCCCGTCCAACACGCGAAACATCCCAATTAATAGAACTATGCCATCAAATTTAGGTTCAAATAAATGCGAATCACGATACTACCGAAATTATTGGAACGTACATTAACTAATTTCGGAAATTTCGACGTCATTTCCTGTCTTACTGTTTGGGCCGTCAAAAGTCGAAATTAATGAATTCCCAACTAGGAAGGACCGAAATTCTCCTTTATTCGGGGGATATTTCGGAGATTCTGTGCCCCTTTCTCTCTCTTCCTTACATTCAGCAACCATAACGAATTAAAATTTCCTTTTCATAGGAAACCACTTTGACCAAAATGGATTGGATCCAAATCCTGAAATTTCGGTTTGAGTCTTGGAGCATCTACTAAAATAAAGTGGAAAGTGAAAACTTTTCCTGAACATTGAGAGAGAAAGAGACGAGACAAAACTCGTTCACGAGGTTTCGCCGCCCTACCTCCGCCATGGTCCCCACCCACAAATAACATTACGTGAAAAAAAAACCGAGCTAGGCTCAGCCGTCTGATCGCATTTTGTGGCCCAGGGATCCCTGACACGTTTTAAACCCTATAAGACAAAGAACGAAAAGGTTATATGTTTTAGGATTTGTCTACGAAGAGGCCATTTCATCTCAAAATGGTAGGGGTTGGTTCGAGGCAGGTCACGAAGTTTGAAATTTTATTTCTATTATGTCACACGCCTTTATAACTATCTTAATTTAAATATAGGTTGTCACTTTTAGGTATAAAAGATAATAGACACTTTGTGGACAATCCCTTAGACTGCTCGTATGCCAGGAGATTGAAACTCTATTGTATAAAGATTATCTATAAATAAACTATTTATCTTTTGTACAAAAAAATCACAATCATTATTGTTTCTTAAATTTAAAAATAGGTGATTGTAAGAGTATCCTTAATTAGACACAAAGTTCTTGAAAAAAAAACTTCTCAGACTTCATGACTCATCCCAAGCCATCCAATTTGACATTTAATAAGTGAGAATAGTTGTGCCATTGTAAAAAAAGTAAATGGTCTCTTTATAGACAATCTCTATTATACAAAAAAATATATAATGAACCTATTTATTTATCTTTAATACAAGGTGATCACAATTAATTTTGACCATTGGATATGAATTTGGGTGGTTGCATTCATTTCATTGATCAAACTCAAAGTTCAAAAGAAATTTTTTCGAACTTTGTAACATAACCAAACTATTAAATTTCATATCGAATAGTTGTAGGTAATTGTGACCTCTCTATACCAAAAGTAAATTGTCTCATTGTATACAATCCCTTATATATAATACGAATCAATATAATAATTTATTTATAAAATATAAATTGTATGAATATGTTGAGCCATCCAATTCACTAAATACAGTGGAAATGGGTCAAGTATTAGCATGACTTTAAAAAACTAAGACCTAGGCCACAAAATATAGCCCCGAAGGCAAAATCACTCTTTTTTTTACTTTATTTATTTATTTATTTTTTTATCCAGCCCAGCTCTCATACGGCTAGTGCCCAGCCTGGGCCAGCCCTATAGGGACCAATGGCCTGGATAGGGGCTAAAGCCAGCCCTATAGGGACCAAGGGCCTGGGTAGGGGCTAAAGCCAGGCCGACACAGCCCGTTGACACCGTTATAACACTAAGCGATACGGCCTGAGGAGAGTGGGCCCTGAGCTTTATTTTCAAGACATTAAAGCACCACATGATGGGCATGAAAGAGAGAGATCACCACGGAATCTATTCAAGAGAGAGATGGGGGGGGGTAAGAACAAAAACAAAAGACATGTAGTCAGTGCAGAGAGAGATCTAAAATGCACTTAAAAAAGCAAAAATGAATGCAGAAAGTTTTAACATAGTAAGGTTAAAGCATCACAGGGGACTTTTTTTTTTTTATTTTGGGACTTTATGCCCAATGAATAACATATTTTTAATCACGTATTTTTACATTTAACGGTCAATGATGACCGTCACATTTAACGGTCAATGATGACTTTGACATCGTTATTTAAAAATAAATGATGTTATTATATATATTTTCAATTAAAAATTCCCAAAATATCATTGAATTCCCTTCCTCTCAATGTATTAAAAACAAAGAGTCAAATGCAACATTGCTCTCCTAAAATCTCCATGTTTTTTCTAAGAAAATCACAATGCATGCTTTCATTTATCTCTGAGAATTACAATGTATAAATACAACTATACAAACAACCCCATAAATATAATTACAACTCTGTAAATAGCAACTGTTCTTCTGAACATGAGTAAGCGTTCAAAAACACTCACAGGTTATTCTAGTTAGGAGATGATAATCCTTCCTCTCTCTCTCTCTACATGTTATTTTAGTTACGATATGATAAACCAGTTATTCTCTCTCAAGATCCATCTCTCTCTCCATCCCCATGTTACTCAAGTTACAAGATGATAGCACATTTTTTCTCTCCCTAGACTACAATCGAATATCAGTGAATTCAAACCAGACCTGCTCGAAGACCTTCACAATAACATCGTGGTACTCGTCGGAATTTAGAGAGAGATAGCATGCAAGCAGCTCCTCGAGCTCAGCTGACGCCCGTAGATCGTTCTCCAAAATCATCTCGACCATCGATTCCTTGAAGTCTCTTTGCGGGTCTCGCGACGCCTTCACGACCGCCAGGCTTTCTGATACCCCCGAAAGCCCGCTCGGATTTCGCTTCTGCCCTGGCCTCCTCTGAATTCTCCCTCTACTCCCCAAAATTCTTGGTGAATTGCTCCTCAGTTTCAATCCAGTGCCATTGTTAGAGAGAGAGGACCTCCTTACTGGGCTCTTCTGTTCCCTAGAGTAGCTCTTCACACTCTTATCCTTGGTGATTTTTAGAGAGAGAGAGCTTTGAACCTTTTGGGGGTCCTTAATTGCATCACCTCTCCTCAGTTTGAGCTCCATTTTGGCTGGAGCTTCCAGTTGTTCTTCAGTGAAAGGTTCAGGCTCAGGAATTCCCCTGTTTTTTATGTCTCTGAATTTTGCAGGCTTGGTGAGAATGGCTGGAAGTTCCATTTCAGGAAAGTCGAAAAAACTTTCTGGCGAGCATTTCCTGCTAAATTCATCATCCATGTCTATGATTATATCGGTGGAGTCGCCGGACTCTGGCGAAAATAGGTCGGCATGCCTAAAATTTTCGCTTTTCCGGCGAAACTCCGGCGAAAAATGGGAGCTTTGGATTGTGTCAATTGTCGCCTTGCAGCTACAATTTGCAGAGACAGAGGAGGAGACAAGCTTGGGTTTCTGGTGCTTCTTTGAGGGCTTCTTGGTCTTTTTGGTGGGTTCAGGGAAATGGGTGTCTGAGGATTTGCAGTTAAGAGGAGAGGAGTTGTAGTGGGGATGCAAAGGTGGAGAAGAAGGTGGGTTTTGAGCTCTGGTTTTTGGTGGGTTGAGAGATGAGGTTCTCCTGGTTTTGCCCATGTCTCTGAGCCTGTAAAACCATGCATTGGGCATGATATCAGAGAGCCTGAATTTGGAGTTCCCCATGTAACCTTTCTCTCTCGCTCTCAATGTGTGGCCGTTTGTAAAACGCACTGGTGAGTCTCTCTGGTTATTACAGGGAGAAGAAGAATGCAGAGAATTATGATCTCTCTAATGTTGTGGAGAGAGATTGCAGACTGAGGATAAGTGTTTTCTCCCCCTCTCTCTCTCTCTCTCTCTCTCTCTCGTAAGGGAAGTGGAG